CTGATACTTTGAGCTTGGAGACCTTGAGCAAGTTACTGAATCTCTCCCAGCTTGTTGCTTCATCTGTAAAAATTGAGTTAATACTAGGTTGTGCCATATGAAATTGTTTTTGTAGATCAGAAACAATGAAATCCAAGCCTCCAGAACCTGGTTTCTAATACCATTCTCTAATAAAAAGAGCTGGGCTCCTTGGAGAAATGGCTGAATCTAGGGCCAGGGCAGGGAATATAGAGGATGACCCTGGAACATCTTAGAGAGTCAGAAAGTAAGGAACTGCTCAAAAAACAATATGATGGGAGTATGTCAAAGGGCTTCTAGTGGCCAAAGCTGGAAGAATTTGAGCAATAAAATATTATAGTATTGGCTTATATCCCAAAGTATAAAATGGATATCCATAAGTCCATGCTGAAAAATAAATGATTGAATGAATGTATGATGAATAAACAAACAAACAAACAAATAAATGGGAGACAATAGACTAATCTGCCATGTAGAAGAATCCCATGTAATTTATCTAGATAACCCCCTCAAGGAGATGGAGCATAACTCCCTACTTTTTAAGCGTGACTTCCTTCCAAAAAGTACAGTGGAGAAACCTGACATAACACTACCTCAACCAGGTAATCAAGGTCAACATCAACGATGACAAGTCATTCTTATATTATGTGCCCCTGACACGATGTGATGAAAATGGCACTTTACCTTTGTGATCTCTTTCTCCTCAAAACCCACAACCCTAGTCTAACCATGAGAAAAACATCATACAAAGTTACCTGATAAGTACTCTTCAAAACTGTCAAGGCCATCAAAAACAAGGTATATCTGAGGGGCCAAGAGGAGCCTAAGGAGATATAACAGCTAAATGTCATGTGATATCCTGGATGGGACCCTGGAATAGAAAAAGGACATTTGGTAAGAACTAAGGAATTCTGAATAAAATATGGACTTCCAATATTAATCTATTGATATTGGTAAATGTACCATGATAACATATTAATAATAAAGGAAACTGGGAACAGGGGCATACAGGAATTCTCGGTACTATTCTTAAAACTTTCCCATAAATTTTAAAGAATTTTAAAATAAAAAGTTTATTTTAAAAAAATGGAATATCGGCAATTTTGTATGGTTCAACATAATACATACTTACAGGATTGTTGTGGGAATTAAATTAGATAATATATGTAAATCCCTTAACACAGTGTCTGACTCAGGGGAAGTGTTCAATAAGTGGTAGTTTTTATGAGGATGACTTTTATTATCATTATTGTTATTTCAGACAGAATAACAAGATTGGGGGGGGAAAACATGGTATTTATATTTACTATGTTTCAAATACAGAGTTATTAACCAGTGGAGATTTAGCCATAGACAACATACCCATGGCCCTTGGACTCCTGCTTATCTTGGGTAGGGTGACAGCAGAGCCATAACTTAGTTTGAGATGGAGAGAAGACAGAAAAACTTTATAAAAATAATATAAACTTTGCCGAAGTATAAAAATACAGTAAGTCATATATGGAGGAATAAAACACACTACTCACCTTAATAACTCCTAGGGGCTCCCATGGGTGTATTTTAGCTTTGGCACTAGCTGATTTTCAAAACAGTGAACTAGAGTCTTCAAGAGAAAACGATGACATTTTTTTATATACTCTGTTTAAATGGTAAGTGAAATATGTATCGAAAATTTTAAAGGAGTAACTTTTATTGCTTGAAAAAGTCTGCTGTGTGAAAAACCTCATTCCTTTTACAATTTTACCTTTTATTGTTTCTTAAAACTTGCTTAGCCTATTCCCTTCTCCCACCTTGTAAAAAGTCAGCCCTCTCCAAGGCTGCATGTGTAACATGGCACACCTTACCTCCCCTGCATTCTTCTCCCCAAACATCACAGATGCCTTTTCCTTTCCTAGTGAGTTTTTCCCACATTTATTTGATGGCCCTCACTTCATTCTTTCTTACCCTGTTAGCAGTGTGCCACCTAAGGCTTTTAGGATGAATATAGCAGCACAGCTTATTTAGTATGCCTGAAAATAAAGCCTCCTCAAATTTAAGGCGGTACTCAATTTCAATAAGAAAAGTCCAAAAATAATTTTCTAAGCTAATATCAGTATGTACATGAAATAAGCAAATGTCTTCTTAATTTTCAATTTAGTTACCTTTAAAATAACACGTGACACATTTTAATTTATACATTCTTCATTTTCCTACTCACATTTCATTATACAATTTAATTCAGACTCCTCGCATGGCTTGTTCACGTCAGTGACTTTGTCATTATGAGAGCTGTTTCTTTGAGTTACCTAGCATGATTTTCCAAAGCACATCATGTCTTACTTACATGTAAGTTGTTTGAAATACACTTTTTGAATCCATGTGTGACTGGAAATTTTACCTCAAGCTAGATTCCTTCTTGAATTAGAGCAGTTGACTTTTTATTGTATCTTTAGGTTCTGTGATAGCCATAACTTAACCACTTACCACCATATTTATTTTTCAAGTGATCTTTAAAAAACTTGTTTATGACAATATCCAACACCTAAAATGCTCAATCTTGCCACCGGGAATGTTTATTAAAATTTTGCTTCCTTTTTTATGATTCTATCATGTGATCTTTTTAAGTATCCATAAATACCATTGATTGAGGTTGTTTCAGGCTAAAATATCTTCCCAAATACTATTGTATCATTCAAAATAGAGAAATTAAGAGAGCACCCCTAATTTAACAGACTTTGTAAAGATTCAGTTATAAGGTGACTTCTAAAGAAAACTTTGATGATTTCCTCTTGGTTGTAGATATATAGGGGAATATAGGTGGCAGTTGTCAATAAGGAGAGATTTAAAATTTAGTAAATGGAAATTAGGCTTTATACAATAAGTTATTTACAGTAGTGGATTTTAAACTTGAGTGTACATCACCCAGAGAGCCTGCTAAAATACATTGCTTTGGCCCACTGGAGTTTTTGATTCACTGGGTCAGGGATGAGGCCTGAGAGTCCATATTTCTCACAAGTTCCAGATAATGATGGAGTCAGGGACCCTACTTAAAGAAACACTGCTCTACAAAGTACTTAAAATTACATAGGGCAAAATTTTGCCTTCTTTTATAGCGTAGGTATCCTAACTTACTATATTAACAAAACATTACTAATTTCAGAAGAAAAAGGAGCTAGGAGTACACAAGGAATTGGCTGTTGCATTAAATATTCTTTCAATGACACAGATTTCCTGTACTTTGAAAGAAAAATAGTCAATAAAGCTGTCTGTTACAGATTGGTATCCTTTCAGATTATTTTATAGAGTGAAATTACTGACCTAAAAATTATTGTAAGATGCAAGTATTTATTATCACTGATTTAATATTTTCCATATCAAATAAAAATTTAGAAATTGTACATTGCTGTTGGAAAGAAAATGTACTGTGGTATTTAGGAATTAAGTCTCCCTAAGTAGGTGAGGTATACAAGCTGGGCTCTGGTTTTGTTGGGATTAAACTTCTCTAAAATAAATGAATAATCAGCTCTACCACAAGGAAGGATGTTTTAAGATGAATAAATACTAGCAAGTGACCTAATTTTATATTAAAATAATAAACATTGAAAAGTAATATCGAAACTTATTATCCAGAAGTTATCTGAGAAATTAAATCTAAACTCAAATTGTATTTACCTGAGAAATAGGTGGAGCACATTTGCATAACATTCTTTGTAACTGCATTGAATCTCTGAACAGTTTTAAAACAACAAAAACCTCACATTACTATTCTGTTTATGTTTCAGATATGAAAGGTGTAGTTTATCAAGAGCCATGCAGGTATTTCACCTGGTAATACATCTTTTGGAAACTTATCCTAAGTAACAGTACAAATGAAAGAAGTTATAGCACAAAGCTTTTTATTTCAGAATTATTTTAGAATAGCAAAACCTTGGAAGCAACCTAAATGTCTAACCATGTGGGAGAAAGTCATTCATTTGCAGCTTAGCTACTGAGTAAAAAGTATTTGACCACTTAAAATGTTCATTTTAGGGCTGGCCGAGTGGCTCAGTTGGTTAAGAGCTCGCTCAAGAGTTTGAGCTCTGAGCAACAGCGGTTCGAGTCCAGCCCGAGCTGAGCAGCCGCTGAGCTGCCAATAGGTAGCAGGATGGCTCAGCTAAAAAAAAAAAAAAAAAAAAAAGTTCATTTTAGAGATTACAGTATAGGACCATGAGGGTAATTCTTAAGATATAAGAGCAGAATATAAAAATACATATTAAAATATAGATGCATATGAGGACAGGTAGAATAAAAAATAAAAATAGTGATTTTGCTAGGGTAATGACTGAATGAATGATTTTTTTCCTTACACCTCAGTCATACGGTGTTATATGTGTATTTTTTTGGTAATGAACTAGACCATATCAAGTCCTACTTAGGAAGCTAGAGCAATTCTTGACTCATATTGGATCTGCCCTACAGATACTGATGTCAGGCCTTGTAAGTTTGGGAAATGAGACAAGCCAGAAAACCCCTTTGCCTTCTCCCAAATAGGTAACCAAATTCTTCATATTCCTACTCACATTTCATCAAACAGTTTAATTCAAACTCCTCATATGGTTTGTTGACATCAGTGACTTTGTCATCATGAGAGCTGTTTGTGAGTTATCTAGCACAGTTTCCCAAAAGCACATCATGTTTACTTATAACGCTTTTTGAATTTGTGTGTGACTGGAACTTTTATCTCAAGCTAGATTCCTACTTGAATATGTTAGAGCAGTTGGTTTTTTATTGTGTCTCTAGGTTATGTGATTTAGAGCTTTGGCTGATTTAGAGCTTCTGTTTCAGCTTATTTGTTATTTCAAGATTATGAGAATACATTCTTGACTGTGACATTTATGACAGTTTTGTGTGTGTGCTTTTTTTAATTCTTGGCAATTCACTTCTCAATGAAGTTATATTAATAGCCATGCAGTACGCTTGGATAGAAAGATAAAGTAATGGTTCTTTTTATTTTTCTTTTACAGAAAAGAGCTGATCCTCTCTGGTACTTTAAATCCAATTAAGGACTTACATCTGGGAAAACTGGCCTTAACTAAGTTTCCAAAGAGTCCAGAAACATGGATTCACAGGTATGGTTAATTTACACCATAGGATTCTTACTTAGGATTCACAATGGCTGGAGAAAACACAATGTGAAGCACAGTCCCATGGTTCAGAGCATGAATTCTAAAGTCACGTTACTGATATTTAAACCTAGATGCCATCACTTGCTACCTATGTCATCTTCAGAAATTATTTAACCTCTTCAGGCCTCAGTTTTTCTGATTTGTAAAATGGGAATAATAAGTACACCTATCTCAGAGTTAATAGTTGAGTTTATTTGATGTGATGCATGTAAACTCGATCACAATGTCTGGCACATATTAAATACTCAAATTTTAGCCCTTATTAACTATTTGAAGCAGTCATGGACATTGCATTTAGAAAATCAGCTATAATGAGCAACTTGGGTTTTATAACTGATTCAGGTGTGTTCCTGGTAAAGATGGTAGTGGTAATGGTTATGGTTAAAATGAACCAGATAAGGAAAATAAGGGCTGTTGATGTAATGGTGTATGGGCTGAGCTAAAAGTTGCTAAGACCACAAATGTGGAGAATATTTTTAGGTTAAAAGCCTGAGGCAGATAGCCAAAATACACGTAAGAACTCGTCTCAAAACCCTGGCTGTCCAGAAGCATCTTCCTCTTGGAATCCATGTAACCACCATATTGTGATTAAAGTGAGATGGTGTGAGCATGCTGATTGGGATCAGTGGGGAAATTCTCTGAAGAAGTCTCTTCTCAGTTTATTAATCCACTTAAAACTTTACTTAAATCCTGAGCATTTTTAGGATCTTAAAGTCAGTTCAAGGTATCTTACTATAATCTTGCCTTTGGCTAGCCTTGCAAATCAGCCCCCCCGCAAACCATATGGTCAGCTGTATTTTCTTCTGCCTTAGTAGAAATTATGATAGCCGACTTCAGAGAGGTCTGTATAGAGCTCTGGAAAGGAAGGGAGGGTGTCAGGGGAAGGGAATTATTAAATATGTGTCTATTTATTGGCTTGTCTGATATCTTATAAAGCACGCTTTTGTTATTAAGTAAAAAACTTCTATTATTTGAAAACTGACAAAATGGTTTTCCACTCAATTTCTTGTACTGTTAAGTTGGAAGTTTTGAATCTAAAAGAATGTTTTCTGGGCAGGCCGAGTGGCTCAGTTGGTTAAGAGCTCGCTCAAGAGTTTGAGTCTGAGCAACAGCGGTTCGATGCCTGGCCCGAGCTGAGCTGCCACTAAGCTGCCAATAGGTAGCAGGATGGCTCAGCTAAAAAAAAAAAAATGTTTTCTTATGAGAAAATATTTATTAAAACTAAAGACATTAAGTAATTAGAGACACTTTTTTAGTGCATTTCATTTAAATATATGCTAATAAAAATCTTAAATAGACAAGGGGAAAATCTGTGGATAGAGACATTTTAAAATCTCTTTGATGGCCTCACTAATTATATTGTATTTGTTTCCTACCAGATTCTATACTATAAAACAGAAATTTTGCTTAATGAAAGCTGTTGTAATGCATCTTGTTTGCAGACAAACACACACACACACGGTGAGGCATGCATATATAATTAAAGACATGAACTATGACTACCATTAATTATATCCTCTTCTTCTCCCCCCCCCACAAGCCACCACTACCAACACACACATCCCCAATTGCCTTTACATTTCCTGGCCAAATGGAATTTTGGAATTGTCATTTGGGAACTGAAGGCATTCTTTTTGACAAATTTTAACATTTCAGAAAGATTTTGCTTTCTTCTTAGTCCTTTCTCCCCCTCCCCGCCACCCCACCACCAATCCATGCTGCTAAAGTTAAGTATATTAAAATAATAATAATAATAATAAATAAACAAAAAGCAACCACACACACACACACACTGGGCTCATAGGTATTATTTTACATTATCTGTGAATGGAAATTAATAACAGAAAAATTCTGATTGTTTTCCTCTCTGGTTTACGTTGTTCCCTCATTGTCTTTCCTACATGCTACCTTAACAGACGATGGGTGCTACAACAGCTAATTCAGGAAACCTCCTTGCCTTCCTTTGTAACCAAAGGAAACTTGGGAACAATTCCTGCAGAAAGGACACAGCGACTAATACGAGAAGAGATGGAGGTCTGCGGTGAAGCGGCAGGGAGATACCCAAGCAACTATAATGCCTGGTCCCATCGCATCTGGGTTGTACAACACCTGGCAAAGCTAGATGTCAAGGTAGGACTGTTATTCTGTCTCCCTAGCACACTCTGTCTCTCCCTTTAAATCTTCTGGTAGTAACTCCTCCTCAGAGGAGCTTTAAAGTTAGAGGAAAGTAGAGGAACTAATGGCAGCCTGGAGAGGATCGTGACAGTGGATACCTCTAGGGAAACCCTGGCAATTGAAAAAACAAGTTTGCATTCCCCACCAGCATATTTTTGCACCCTTAACAATGCATTGGTAGAACAGGCAGGTTTAAACAGTAAGGAAGACTGAGCATAACTCATTTTGCCTTGAAACAGAAAGGGATTATGCAGCCTTGTAGGACTGAAATTTTTCTTTCTTGATAGTCTTGAGTTACATGGCGTACTGCGCTGAATCAGCTGGCTGCCTTTGCACAATTTTCTCTTGGGAGGGAACAGAAGATTTTACCCAGGTGTTCCCAAACTTGGGTGACTCTCTAACCTGAGGATCCCCAAGTCCCACCCCAGACCTACTAAACTGGAATGAGGGTAGTATTTAGAGATCAGAGTTGTTCACAAGTTTGGAGTTATTAGGATGCAGAGCCAGGTGGGAAACTGTCACAGCCTAATCCTTTCAATTTAGAAATGAGGAGATGGAAGTTTCCAGAGAATTTTAATGGCCTAGACTTAATCACAGTTGCATCGCTTATTATTCATCAGAATGAGAACCAGGTATTCCTGCGTTCCTTCTTACATACTACAGCTTTTCTGTTGTTGTTGTTGTTTTTTCTTTTCTTTTTATGGTATCAGTGCCATCAGAATCTAGGGTACTTTTCTAAAAGCTTCCCTGGCTTGAGACAACTTAAAGGGGTCAAAGTGCCTCCAGTGATGCTTTCAGATTAATGGGGAAACTATACTGTAAGTTGTGCTCACCACCCCCTTCTTTGTATGCCTCCTTTCACAGGTTCCCTCTCCTCTCTCTCTCTTGCTTAGCCAGAGGTTTCTCCAAGAGAAATAGAGTTTTCACTTCTGGGAGATTTTAAGCCAACAATTCTAGAAGAGTATCCCTTCCCTTTCAGTTTATATGACTTTGTGTTTCCGGAGGGGAAGACATGTAATGGAGTGGAAAGAGCTAAGACAGAATCACACTGACCCAGGTTCAGATTCTGGCTCTACTAGCTATGCGTGGAAAGTAAGGCTTTAATGCTTTCATCTATAAAAGGGGGCCCTACTTGCTGCCTCAGTGGATTATTGTGAGAATTACTTAAGTTAATGTGTGTAAAGTACTGGGCATCTGATAGTAGAGGCTCACTAAAATTTAGCTCCTTTTTGTGCCCCCCATAGATAGGAAGTTTACATGAAACTGGCTACCAGTTTGCTAGGTCAACTCAGTGCAATGTGTTCATGAAAAAAGACTGAAACCCTATCATTCCCAGACACCGTCCTATATACTGGGTGTGGCATAAAGACAGAGCTTGCTCTCAACCAATTGAAAATCTAGTTGAGGAAGCAGATAGCAACAGTTAGAAAGCAGTGTGACCCGTGCAGGAACCGAGGGAAGCTCAGGGTACAGTGGGAGCACAGAAACTGCTCCTCATCCAGGCTGGGCTCATTGGAAGCAGCTGTCACGGGGAGGGATGCTGTATTGTTTTGAGACTGGCGGGATGAGCACAAGTTGTCTGGTGGGTTGTGGGGGGTATGGAGGGCTTACAGCCTGTCACCTCAGCTCCACAACTTGGTAGTGTTGTGGGGGTTGGGGAGGGGCATGGAGAGAGTTGAGGATAAAAAGGAAGGCTGAGTCCAGGTGATCTGAGAAGTCTTTGGAATCTTTCCTGCTTTGATATGAACCTTTTAAAAGGTGGTGTTCCCATAAAATCAGGAACATGGGACCAAGGTGACATTCTTATTTACTTAAGACCATCTGGTGTTGAAGATGAGAACTCATTAGTGGTATCTTGACTCAGCTGCCTAGGTCCACTCCTAGGCTCACAATCCTAGGCTCCCATGTTATCTGCTTGCCCTGCCCTTGGAGAGACTGTGCTTTTCCTGTCACTACTGCCGTTGTAGTGTCTCTCACTGTCAGTGAAGAGTGCTGAATTTGCAAAATCCCCTTTCTGTTCTTGTAAGCTATTGAGCCCAGCGAAAAGATCATGTCCTGCTATGCTTTGTCTGTTAAAGGAAGTATCACAAAAGTGTACCAGTAGTCTAGAGCAGCTTAAAAAAATATATAAAATAAGCTGGCATTTTTTTTTAACTTAGAAAATTGAAAATGATTTGTTAAAGTGCTGGTATCCAGCATGGATGAGGGTATGAAAATAAGCATTGAAGAAATTGCTATAATCTTATTGAAGGTCAACATGGCAGCATTTACCAGACTTTACAAAAAATTGTGTGTGTGTGTGTGTGTTATCTCTAATCTAGCAATTCTGCTTCTAGGAATTCGTCCTAAAGAAATAATGGAGATGCAATATGGTTTAATAATTAAAGCCTCCACTCACTAGTCATGCAGACCTCATTTGAATCCTGACTCTACCACCAATTTGCTGTGTGGCCTCGAGGAAGTTTCTTAGCCTCTATACCCTTCGGTTTCATCATCTGTACAATGTAGATGATAATTCCACCACATTGAGTGATGTAAATTAAATGGTGGGAGAATGCACATCAAGTGGCTATTACAAAAAATAAAAAATAAAAAATAAATAAATAAACAAGTGCTTGTACTAAGCACTCAACAAATACTGACTATTATATTAAATACAGAAGTTTGATATATAAGAATAATGTTTATAATAATGAAAACCTGGAATCAATCTAATCCTCCAATAATAATGAGGGATAAGTTACATTATAATCCATCACACGTTGGAATATATTATTGGTAGTAAAAATTGTGTTTTGGAAGATTATTTAAAGAAAAATGTTCATTTTAGGTTAAAGATATAAAACTAAATATGAGAAGGGCCTAATAATAAAATTTTAATATATTAGCAGCGTTGAATATGATTTTAAAATGTATAAAACAGTGTCTGGTATATTATAAGTGTGCAACAGATATTTATATGCATGTACGCGCGCACACACACGCACACACACAAGTGCTGTTATGAGTATATTTGTCTTGTGTTTTCTATAATAAGCATGAGTTAGTTTCTATTCAGAAAAAAAGGTTAGAGAATAAAGAATGTTTATCAGTTCTATAGCGTGGAATTAGGGGAGGTTTTAATATATTTCATGTTCCATATGATGTTTAAGTGAACATATAGTTAAGTAAATTTTAATATAGTTTTATTTCTGAGGGTGGGGTGAGATTGAAAGACAGTTCAGTAAAGGTTGTTACTACTAGCCAATTAAAACTTGATATGGTGTATCACCTGAGAAAGCACAGAGGGTTGTTTCTCAAAAAAAGGTACACAAATGGCCAATAAAGACATGAAAAGATGTTCAACATCATTAGTCATTAGGGAAATGCAAGTCAAAATCACAGTGTGATACCACTTCATACCAACTAGGATGGCTAAAATTAAAAAAACAATAAGTGTGGGCAACGATGCGGAGAAATTGAAACCCTTATACATTGCTAGTAGGAATGTGAAATAGTGCAGCCACTGTGGAAAAATAGTTCGGCATGTCCTCAAAAAATTAAACATAGAATTACCACATATGACCTTGCAATTCTTCTCCTAAGTATATATCCAGAAGAACTGAAAACATGTTTTTACTAACACTTGTACAAGAAATGTTTGTAGGAGCATTATTCTTAATAGCCAAAAAAATGTAACAAACCAAATGTCCAATCGCTGGAGAACACATATACAAAATGTCGTATAGCCGTGCAATGGACTATTATTCAGCCATAAAAATGGAGTGAATTCCTGATACATGCCATAACATGGTTGAACCCTGAAACATTATGCTGACTGAAAGTAACCAGATTCAAAAGGTCATATATGTATGATTCTATTTATATGACATATTCAGAATAGGCAAAGCAGACTCTAGTGGTTGCCAGAGGCTGGGGGAAGTGGGGAATTAGGGGACTCCTAATAGGAGTTGTTTTGGAGGTGATGAAGATGTTCTGAAATTAGAGCGTAGCAATGGCTGCACTACTTGGAATATACTAAAAACCACCAGTTTATTTTTCAACTTCAAAAATTGATTCTTAAGTTCATTAGAAAGAATAAAGCTTCAAGAATAGCTAAGAAACTGTTAAAAGAAGTAAAACAAGGAACACTGTATACCACTATATGTTTGGATGTTTATAGAGTAATTAGTGTTACTGGCTCAAAAATAGACATAGTAATAGAAGAAAATATAAAGCCCAGAAACAAATCCCAGTACATAATATGTAAAAATTTCATTGATGATAAATATGGCATTGCACATAATTGGAGAAAAGCTTCTTTGTTCAATTTGTAATGCTGATAAGATTGGTTGACTTTTTAGAAAATAATTGTTAGTTTTAATCTCATATACCAAACTGAACTCTAAATGGAATAAAACATACCTGAGGGGAGAAAAAAAGGAATTAAAAAAATCAATTGCAGTTAAATATTAAGAAAAATATTTACAATATGTAAGATCTCCAATGTATATAAAGATCTCTTACAAACCCATAAGACAAATAATAACTATCACAAATAGTAAATTAGGCAATTTATAAAAGAAGAGAATTAGGCAAAACAGCAATTCATAAAAGAAGAAACAAAGGAAAAATAAGCAAATAGGAAAAAAACATTTAGCCTTAGTGATAAGAAAATACAAATTAAAATGAAATGTGATATTTCACTTATTAAATTAGTGAAGATTAAAGTACTGGTGAAGAATTTAGGAAACAGACATTAAGATGTACTCCAATAGGAATATAAATTATGTACCCTTTCTGAAGGGCACTTTGACAGTATATATCAAGAGCTTTACAATATTTTTCTCACTGTTCCAGTAAGAATACTTTTAGAAATTCCTCCTAAATGAGTAAGATATGCACATAGATTTATATATGTGTATTCATAAGAGTGTTTACTTATACAAGATTGGAAACAAAATGAGGGAATGGTTAAATTGTGATACTCTTTAGGATGAAATATTATGCAAATGTTAAAAATTATGTTATAGAATAATATTTAATGACATGGGAATATATTTATAGTTTAAGTGGAATAAAATCAGTATAAAAGAGTATCCCAAATTTGTTTGAAAAATTAACTGTGCACATACATAGCAAAAAGCTGAAAGATTGTGTGCCAGAATGTTTAGTGGTTATCGGTGGCCAGTGGAATATTGAATTTTTTTTGCTTCTTTATATTCTATATTTTAAAAATTTCCTATAGTGATCATTTTGTATCACTTTTATAATCAGAAGAAAAACCAAATGTTAATTTTAAAAATGTGTAAGACTGATGGCATATGTATATAAGAATGAGTACTTTCATTAGTCTTTCACTTTAAACTTGTTTTCCTTCTGTTTCATAGCTCTGCTTCTATAGTTTTCTTGTAGTTTATTTACTCATTAATTCTTTTATCTGGAATGTTGGAAAAGAATAATGATATTTATTGTATATCATTTAAAGATCGTTCACTTTGTCAGTACCTTGCATGTAAACTCTATCTTTATGCAGTCTTTAAGATCTTTTAAAAGTAATTGTCTTTTTTTAATTATTGCCTATATCTGTGTACCTTTTTCTAGTAAGAAAATGCTCTGAAATGCCTATTAAAGTTTCTTCTCTAGTTTAGTATGCATCTTATATTTTAGGGAAAAGAATATAGTGGATTTTCTTTTAGAAAGTCTGAGAAAAAATTTTAAAGGAATTGATTTTGCTGAAAAACTTTAATATATCTGCAATTTTTTGGCTTCAAAGTTCCAATAAATTCCAATTTTTATATGTAGAAATATGCAGTAAGAAATAATTTAAATGTTTTTCATGTTACATAAATTCCTTTTAAACATGTTTTGAACTTTTTTCAAAGAAGCTATACCAAAATTTAAAATCTGCTGTATTATAGTCTAAATGTCCTGCAGGTTAATTCTTAAAAAATGTAATATCCTTAAGATTAGTTTTTGTTTTGTTTATTTTAAGTAGAAGTCTATTTGGTGCTATTTTGCTTACCTTTTAAATCAAATAAACAGCCTTGTTTTTCATTTCTCAGTGACTCATCAGCAGTAGCCTCTAGAATAAATTTATGTGGCTATGAATAAAACTCTTTAGAATTTAAAGGAGATGTTTAAAACATTTCCCTGATATAACTTGACCATCCTAGCTGGGGGTAATCTATCCCTCTGTACTTGTCACTTCATTCATTAAATTGTTCATTTACTCAGTTATAAAATACTTAATGTCCACTCTTATGCCAGTGGGTATCGAGTGATGGTAACATAATTAGGAACGAATAAATATCTTAAAGAACTTGTAGAGTTTGGTGGGGATGAAAAGATATACAGAAAATTCTTTTTTGTGTGTGTTTTTGTTTTTTTAGATTTTTATTGGGGAATTGGGGGGATGGGAACTGCGCTGGGGAATTGCGGGAAGGGGAACAGACAAGTTGCTGTCGTTTTGTTCTTCAGTCTAGTTGTGGAGGACGTTGCTTCACTGGCCCAAATTGGCACCATCATTGTGCTCTTCCCGGTCGATTCAGATGAGTTGCCGGCTTCTGGATGGCCGCTCATGGCGGCTGCTGGCCCCTCACGCTGACTGCCGGCTACATACGGTAGCCCATGGCAACCCACTGCAGCAGGGACTGCAGCCTACATCGTCGCTGGTGACTCACGGCAGCCCAGCTCCAGGTTGAGCTGTTGTTCAACCATCTTAGCTGTAGAGGGCAGTGTCACTGGCCCTCATATGTGGGATCCGAACCGGGGCCCTCTGGCGTCCCAAGCCAGCTCTTAACCATCGCGCCAGTTGGCCGGCCCAGAAAATTCTTTAATATATATGGCTGAACATACAAGAACTATGGAAGTTCAGAAGAGGGAAAGATTTTTTTCTAGGGAAGAAAAGAGACTTTGAGAAATGGAGAAAGGGGATCTTGGTACAGGAGAAGGCATTTGCCTGGGACCCTTAACAAACAGGTAAAGGAGCCCGTTGGCACTGTGCTGTCTGTATTGCTCACTGTTGACAAGTATATGTCTTTTTTCCTTAGCTGGTCTGAAAATCCTTTGATGGAATGGGGTAGGCCCTTGATAGATCTTCCACGATCAGAACCCATTTGTGTTTCATACCTGTCCAAAACATTGCCAAATATCTTGACATGCTGCTTTTCTTTTTTATCATTCCATTTGAAATTCTTTAGTTTGCAGGATTGATAATACAAAGATTTAAACAACTCACTGCTGAATTTTATCTCATCTACTTAAAAAAAAACCACTTATCATTTAGGTTAAGTGAGTTTGCGGCAAATAGTGAAAGTTATGAGCTCTTGAAAAGTCCTGTTATTCATGCGTAATGTCTTTGTACTAAGCCCTTAGAATTAAGTAGTGAACAAAACAGACATGGTCTCTGCCTTCATGGCACTTAAAGTGAAGAACAAATAATCGAGTCTAGTTGAACAAATAGTAAGTTAGATATAATACAGGTTCATTAAATTTAGAGAAAGTTTTCATCAAGTAACCTCTGAATTTATGTTTCCCCTTCAATGTCAGCATTACTTGTAAATGAATACCCTAATGTTCATCATTTTAGAATACGGCTTTTATATGTGTGTGCCAGTCAGAATGTGATTTATCAAGGTCCAGGAAAAGAGTGACAAACAGGTCCTTAAATTCTGTGGTATATATAAAAAATTCTGTTACTTTATAAGGGAAAGGGGAAACTAGCATTTACTGAGCTTTTGCTAAGTAGCAACACTGTGTTTGGACATTGTATGCAAGATATTGGTAGGAATGGTATTGCCTAAAGAAACAAGGACCTAATCAGGGAGAAATCCAAGGCAATAATGGAGAAAGAAGAACCTTTGGCAATTTCTCATTTTACCCCCCTTTTTTCTCCCTACAAGATTCTTCTTGATGAAATATCTTCTACTAAACACTGGGCCTCCGTGCACGTTTCAGATCACAGTGGATTTCACTACCGCCAGTTTTTGTTAAAGTCTTTGATTAGCCAAACTGTGAAAGACAGTTCTGTGTTGGAGAAAAACCCTTTGAGAAGCGAGCCAGCCATGGTTCTTCCAAAAGATGAAGCAGCAGCAGCTTCAGCAGAGGAACCAAGGATAAATATCCCCCATCTTCTAGAAGAAGAAGTTGAATTCAGCACTGATCTTATTGATTCCTACCCAGGACATGAAACCCTTTGGTGTCATAGGTAAGAGAAGGGAAAATTCATTTCCTGCGTGAAACTCTGTGTGTCCTTACTAGAGCTACAGAAGGTCTTGCTTATTATCCAGGCCAGTTTTCTGTTGATTCGTTGCCCTTAGGCAGTTTACTGTCCTTTAAGTTATATCCTCTGTAAAATGGACGTGTTATATGCTCCCTGTCTACTCCAGAATATGTGGGGGAAATGGGTAGAATTCTCCTTTAAAGGCTTAGAGTTGCTGATATGAATGGTGAGATATAACCGCCTAGAGCCTATGTAGTTCACCTTATTGTGTACAGCAGATGTGCACGCCACAGAGTCCATCTTTGGGGATTAGACACATGGATCTTCATTTTTAACAAATATTCCACATGATTCTAAGGGCAGGAGAACTGCTCGGAGGGGAAGAACAGGAACTGTGTCCCGTAACATACTTTGCTCAGAGCCCAGCACCTTCCTACTGCACATGGATGTTTAATGAGACTGTAGTGATGGATTTAGGGGAAGTTCAGATGGTTTCGAGACAAAGGACCAACTGCCACAGGTTGTTCGTATTGGACAGAGGACATGGGCTAAGCCTCCAGACGTGCTGTTTAATCCCCTTGTTCCTGAATCTCTTGTCTGGGGATATCAGTGAGATTCAGTTTTGCTTTTGTGTTGTATTTTAATTTATAGCAAAGATTGGGCCAAGACCTATTTCTAGTTTCATTGTTATAGTCTACAAAGAGTAACAACTCCAAGTGGCTGTCATTATCTCAGTCAATACTATTTAAAAACCTTTGGGATGGTAGTCTTTCTCACAATCAACCCAGTAATCTGGGTTTGTAACACTTGTCCAAATACCCAGAGACTTCATCATAACTACTCTTCCTCCTTCCCTCAGATAACTCTGGGATACAAATGCGGCAATGTACTGAGTACTGTATATTTTGAAATCATCAACTCACTTTTGTTGTTTTTTCTGAAAAGCTTGACTTCGCAATGTGATGTTTCCTTTCTCTTTTCTCTCTGTTCCCCTCCTATTTCACAGGCGACATGTTTTCTACCTTCAGCATTACTTAAATGGTAGGTTTACTCACAGCGTGACCCAGTTGTCACCTGGAGACAGCCCTGGGGGGACCGTGAGTGACTTGCACCACATCCCAGCAGGCCCCCACACGTCTCAGGCAATGGAGGTAGATGGACTGATTGACTCTAGCAAGCAGGGCTATTCGCAGGAAACGAAACGCCTGAAGCGGACCCCAGCTCCAGATTCCCTAGGCCTGGAAATGGAACACAGGTTCATCGATCAAGTGTTGTCCACCTGCCGGAACGTAGAGCAGGCCAGGTTTGCAAATGCATATAGGAAATGGCTGGATACTTTGAGTCAATGAAAGAGACGGACTATTCCTGCAAGGTTCCCCTTTTAGTGCAATATCGCCTTCCTTTCTTATTTACATAATTGCATGAACTGTTTGCTGTTATTAGCTAACTATATGTTCTTCATCTTTACCTTAAAATTCCCTAGTAAGTCTTTCACTTTATTTATTTTGTTAAAAACTGGCATTCCTTTGGGGATAAAATAATTGTATAGTTCCTTCCTGCTAAACAGTGAGTCTTAATTTTTTTCTTTGTAACTTTTCATCCTTTATATTTTCTATACTTCTGTATTTCTAGAAGAAGCCTATATTTCTAGGCTTCTTCTCATTTGGTTCTCCTAGGTGGTTCACACATACCTCCACCCACCTCAGTGCAATTGCTGCATAGACTAATTTTTTAACTAAAAATGTATGTTGTAGTTCAGCTTAAAAACAAGATAAATGCAAAATTACTTAATTGTTTTGAGAATCAAATGGCCAGATGGGTGGATAAGAGAAAATACAAACCATTTCTTTCTCTAGCATGTTCTACTGAAGTTATAGACCAAGATAACCAAAGTCAGAAGTATTGAAATTTATATTAAAAACACGCTTCCAATGTAACCCATTTTTTAAATGATTATTTTAAAAGAAATAATTTTAAGAGTTTACGTAATTGTAGTACTAGAAAATTATTTTTATTACTAGTTTTGATAGATTGTTTTTACCTCAAATTTGGTATATGCCAAAAACACTCAAGTCAGCCCTTATAAAAATCATTTTTTTAAAAAAACCCTGGAATGCCATTTTGAGTTATTACTACTTATTTTCTTTCCAAATTCATCATGAAAAATGGGAGATATATGCATAGAAATGTATCCATAAAAAAACCTTTCTTTTTAAAAATTTAAGTTATTGAGGATACACTGGATAAAATACAAAATTTTAATGAAGTGATTTTTAGAAGTTTTACTGGCAAAAGCCAGGGAGAAAAAATAGTTTTGAAGGTTAGTTCTTCAAGCTTTATTTTAGAAAATAAAAGCAATTTAAAAACTTTGATACTAAACTTATCAGGGATGAGGTACCAAAGTATCCACCTTATAGCTGTATCTTATCTTTTCAATAACAAGGGTTGGGTTTTTCAGGTTGGTGAGGTGGGGTGGGGAAAGGGCCAGGTAATGTCTAATGTCTACTTTATACTTTATTATATTTACTCCTTCATAAATGGTCTGCCTTGCTTATTTCCACATACCTTTTTTATTTTCCCAGTCCATTCCATACTTTTTGTTACTCTCACTTTTGTATATATTTTCTACCTGTCTTATTTCCCAGATGTGACTGAAGATATTCTCCCTATTTCTAGTGAATTCCATGCTCCATTACCACATACATGCAGCACAGACACAAAATGTGAATATGAACTGCTCCTTTTGCCGTGTGTGTGTGTGTGTGTGTGTGCGCGCGCGCGCGCGCGCGTGTGCGCGTGTGCGTGCACGTAGAATATGAGTAGCAGTGGCAGAAACAAGTGTGACCACCATGCTTGGCCTGTGCTCCTTTTCATGTGTTCGGTCACCTGTAGGGTGAAGAGACAAACATAGGGAAAGGCAGACCTCCCCTCTCTCACTATTATGCAGACCCTCGACGTGAGTGAGGCACATTGCCTTAGGGGAAAAGAACGAGTCTTTTACTTGCGCATCATGATTTTGTTGAGTGGCAAACTGCTGAGTAAGACTGAAGAACACCAGAACAGGCCTGGCTCCTGTAGACAGAAGCAGCTCTTCTCTCTTGGGGCAAAAAATTACCCTTTTGTAGCTTTTATAGTATTCCGGCGTGAAAATAATTGCCATTATGAGCATAATTCCATGGCTCTTTGTGTTCAAGACATATTTTGAATCAAATACCTCAGGGTCTACCTAGACTTCTATGGATAGAATCATTGGTTTAGGATCTTTGGCACCTGCAGGGTTTGGGGGGAACTACACAGAGATGACCTGGGAGATTCAGCCCATTCCACTGATACATGCTGCCAAATTCTGGCCTCACTCAGTGTTACCTTTTTTCCAAGCATCATTTTAAGTATCCCAAGTAATAGGGCTTCTTTCTTATGCTTTGGTGTTAGTGTCAGGACATGAGTGTCGGCAATACCCTGTGAAACATCAGCTAAATAATATTATGCTCCATGTCTCTTTCTACCTTCTACAGAGGATCTTATTAACTGCCTTCCTGTGTTTCAAGGCTCTTAACCCACCCCATTCTGAAGCCATGCAGTCCTTTACTATATCTTGGTCTGTCTTCCTAATAAAGTTTTAAGCAGGGAGTGAAAATACAAATATCCAAAGGATACTGTTTGTATGTGACTTTTGTGTTCTACTTTATTTCTAAAATTTTTATCTCTTTCAAGTGTTCATTCACAAAAACCTAGTATTGCCCTACATCGTATTTTTTTCCCCTAAATGGTTGACACCTAAACTCACTAGCTGTAGCATGATAATATCTCTTTTACTGAATGAGCCCACTCAGTGGAGAGGATTTGTGTATTTTCAGGGACTTGTTAATCTTTACTTGTTTTGTACAAATATGTCGTTAAAAGAAGAAATGGTTTTGATTGACACACATTTCATCAAACTTGCACTGGAAGAAAGTTAGTAGGCCGTTGTACCGTCCTGTGGATCAAGAATACTACTGACATGCAAAAAACAATAAGTTGGTCAGTATCTTTACTGCCACCCCCCACCACCATTTTTTTTAGTATACCTATTTTGTAATACAGTGTTCCCAGATTCTACTTCACGTTGTGAAGAGTCATTAAATATTTATTAAATTAATGAATGATTAACTGTTTGAAGATGGGAAAGATTGATCATGAGTGATGGATGAGTGAGTTATGATTGAGAAATTGATGGATTAGAGCAATGGATTGTGAATGAAGGATGTATTCTAGCTTCACCATACTTCAGTGAAGCTGTTGCATATAGAATAAGTTAATTTTTTTTCCTTTAACTGCCTTGTTTAAGCTGCTTATATCCCATCCAAGAGGTGCAGCTCTATAATTATCAATTAACTGTACTTTAATATATATTAAAATTCATAGAACTAATCAGTCCCATTTGCATTAAGAACACTACTTCCTGTTCATTTATGATGTTGGAGGACAGATCTTGCCAACACAGCCAGAACCACTTGGGGCATCTGAATAAATTCTTTGCTTTCAGAAACTTGTTGATCTGTACCTGTGAGTATGTAGTCGTTTTGTGCTTTTTCTTTCCTCCTCCTCAACTTGAACTGTGGACCTTTTAGATCTATTTCTTAAACCTGTGTCAGTTTTTTAACTTAAGGATTTGATACCTACCTATTAATGTCCCCCTTTTCTTTTCTAGGTTTTAACATTTTATTACCTTTTTATTACTCGTCCCAGATTTTCAGTCATGTTTATTATTCCTATGGTATGGTTCTAATGTAAATTAAAGGCCTCATTATTAATAGGACTAAATGTATATAGATGTCAATAAAAGCCACTTAAATCTTCAGATAAGGGCCTGTGAGACACAAGATATGGAAACAAAAGTTCTTGAATTTTTATGTAGCATTTTGTAGGAAAGCATGTAGACTTTGTGTCATTGAGATATATTCAGGTCATATCAACTCATGTTTGTTGAGACACTGTGTGTGTGTGTGTGTGTGTGTGTTTTGCATATAAAGAGAACTTTAATATTGTCAGTCTAATAATTTTCTCTTATATAGCACAAGATGGTATCTGACACAGGGGCTAAATACAATTTAGGAGTACAACTACCACTTGTACAATAATCTAATCTCTACCTTAGTTCCCCTGAATTACAGATGATGCTAAAGATTTAGTTATCAAAGGAAGTAACATATCTTTTTTTTGCATAAACTTTTTGTAAACTTAATTATTTTGTTACTAGAAAATTATATTTTAAAACTTTTAGATATTAAAGTATGCTAGAAAATTTGAACAGCATTGTAACAACTGAACCTTTTGTCTTCTGAATAAATTTCTCAAATAGAACTGTGCAAACCGTAGCACTTTATGTGCTGCCGCCTCCCCATGCCTGAGTATATACTCTGTAACGTGCTCCTGTCTAATGGAGAAGTGCACGGAGGCACAGGAAAGCTTAGGCAAATTCAGTGAGCAGGAAAAATCAACCCTGAGAATTCTACTTACCATCACACAGTGTCTTTTAAAAAATAACTATACATACTGTGTTAATTTGAGTGCCTTTTTTACTTTTGGGGGAGCAAGATTATATTTAAGTCTAATGTTTAGGTAGAAAACAGAAGATAGAAGTTTTATCAGTTCGTTGTGACTCATTATTTATTCCAATTGCTAGGCATGGTCTCATGGTCCTCTATTGAGATACTGATATGGGCAGGTAGGATCTTTTGGTTTGTACTTCTGTTATGTTTAAGTGCCCTACCAAGAAGAACTGGTTCTTTTGGGGGGACGGGGACATCAGATTTAGAGGGTGGCACGTGCATACATGTGCGTAAACATCATCCTGAAACCTGTGCAGCCTGTGTTCCAAGAGAAACAGTGGCTCTCTGCCTTGAAACAAAAGCCGTAAGGTTTTCCTAAATGAATCCTTTGCCTCACTCTAAGGACTTTAAGGATTCCCTCCCAAATACAGGCCTATGTAAGATAGCCAAAAAGGGGGGTGGGGGGGAATGGGACCCTTATTCTTTCAAATATTGGAGGAAAAGGAGTAAATACTGAGATGAAATTTAAAATGTGGCATTTTATGTATTTGGGTAGGGGAAGGGGAGGGATAGGAATTCCATATTTCAAGATAGCAAATAATTTTTAATTGTAATTTCCTAAAAATATATAGCTATGGATTCCAAAGTGCTTTTCTGAGGACTGTTGACTAAAAACTATATTCCTGAATGTCAGCAGTATGTTATGTTCATAATTGAGACAGAAAACCATCGTGTCAGTTGTGGATCTGTGGATGGGGGAAACCTTAGGCTCCCAGTTGGGACCTCTGTCCTCACCAGGCCATGTTAACAGTAAAACCAAACTCCTTACTTAAAAAAAAAGAGAGAGAGAGAGAGAGAGAGAGAGCAGTGACTTAGCTGATGAAACCTTGTGCTTCCAAGAATATTAGCTATATGTAGTTTGTGCTTTCTGGACAATATGGTCCACAAAGCTCACCCTGGCATTTGTTTTATTAGTCTATTATTATTCCTCAGGGTGTAGAAGATTTAGTCAATTTAGGACAAAATTTTATATTCAATGGCAAAAAAAGGGCAAAAATATGCTAAATATACTACTAGTTCTTAAAATCGTAGTGTAGATAGTATTTTTTATAAACCACTACCAGTACAGCAGCACGTGGATGCTCGTGACTGCCTCGTCGCTCATCGCTGCATTAACCCCTATGGTCTATTATGAATGTTCTCTTCCGCGTGTCTTCCATGGACATGATTCCTGTATTGTATTAGTTTTCATGTTTGGCAGCTGTGGGTGGGGTGTTTCAGTGGACGACATTCTCAATTTTTGGATATCCTGTTGAGGAAAATGATTACTGTTGGTTTTCAAAGTAACAACTATTTTGCTTCTTAAAACTTCAGTTTCCCAGAAAGAGTGTTTTCTCTGCAGACCCCATACATGTGCAGTACAGTGCATAATGCCTTGCACTTTGTAGGATTTCAATAAGTCAGAATTCTTAAAGGCTAGAAAATTACAACTAGCCTATCTGTGTCTTACCGCCATGGTACACATCCATGCCTTAGGAGAAATGCAGTGTTGTGCATAAGACACATAAGCAGGTTCAGATTTACAAGGCAAAGATTGTAAGTGAAATTTAGATACTTTTAAGGCATATATATATATATACATATATATATATATATGTGTGTGTGTGTGTGTGTGTGTGTGTGTTACACATATATGTATGTATATACATTTAAATGAGATTTGGAACTTGAATCTATG